AAAAATAAAGTATAAATTACTTCCTATCTGATGTATTTGACATACTCTAAATCCTAAATCTAACATAAACTTTATTTCTCAAGCTATAGAGGAAAAAAGGCACTAAAATCTGACCTGGCCAAATGCAAAATATAAATAAAAACAGAATAAACTGAAAGAAAAAAATGGGAAGAATATTTTTCTCAGAGCGTAATTCAACAAAATTAAGCTATCAAACCAAAACGCTATAATCGTCTAGTGCTGCTACTGCCCTAATTTCCTTTTTTATCTCCAGGTGGGCCATAGAAAAATGTTCCTGGCAAAGAGAGAAAAAAATATATCCATATCTTTACATTTCACTCTTTATCCTTGGTAGAGGCAAGTATTACACCATAACTGTTAGTGGTCTTGGTAGTTATAAAAATAAGAGATCTGTAAAGTCCGTAGTGGGATAAAGGGAGCACAGAGAGCTGCCTTGGTTTTCTAGAAAGGTGCGTCCTCCAGCTGCTGTCCTGCAGGTGGCCTTCTCCCTTTACAAACTCCATAAAAGGTGAAAAGCTACCTGATCTAATAGTGCTTATTAGTGATCACAAACTAGTCCACATCAAATAGTCTCCATTATCTCACCATTAAAAAAAAAAAACCAGGTACATGCACTAAGATCTGCAAAAGCCAAAGCAGCCCTCTAAGACATACTTTCACCTGTAGTAAAGAGTGATTCACATAGAATCGGCATGCTATCTTATTCCCTAGGGTCCAAATTTAAAAGTAGGTTGGTTAACAATATTCAATTTATTTTTTACGGATGAATGTCTTCTTTTAGTTTCCTGTATCTCTTCAATTAGCACCTTGATTTAAAAACTCAACAAAAACACAATTATATATAGCACTCATTCATGCAGAAAAACAACTTTAATGGGAGAACTCTGGGTTCAGTCTACTTAATGGCTGAGAAGGGTGGAAGATTCTCTAAATCTACATGGTAATTACAAACAAGCCACTATCACCACATAATCAGAGAGTGACATGGAAACTCACCGCCAGGTACACTGTACCAAGCACCACCATTGGTCGTCCCATCTACAAAGCTGCTGTCATCATCGTTCTTGCGACATGGTGGCCGATTGGGGTCAGACATGGCCGGGTTGAAAGAAGAGTATGCTCGAGCCAAGCTTTGGAAAATGGCATCATCTGGGCAGGAGCTGTATTCATGAGCACTACCTAGAAAATAAACCACAGGATTAAAGAAATGGACGTAGACCAAGGAGTACTGCATAGTCTCTGAAGGGTGATTCAGCGTTGAGCTCTCGCTGATGTATTTTTTTTTCTTTTTTTTTTTTTTTTTTAGCTATACCACTACAGAGAAGGAGTGAAGGGTTAAGCACTAAATAATTACACTCAGTTTTTAAATTATATGACTTCCATCCCTAACACTACAAAGTAGAAATTGGGTAGAATGCGCATTCTATTTATGAATCGAAAGCTTTACAAGAACAGGTGATGAGATCACAGTAAACTGGACCTGGAAGGGAGAGCAAGAGAATTTCCACTGTTAAAATTTTTCATTTAAAAAATACACCTGTACCAACCTCATAGTCACTACGAACCACTCTAACACATACTATTCAGTACCTGATTTTAGATTTTTTTAATCTCCTGTTTATTATAGAAATAAATAATATATACTTTGATACACTAAGAGTATATTCTTGGTCATGTTTTATACACTGTGCCAGGCCTACAAGTCTCCCAGTTATCAACAAGCCACAAAAATCTCTAAATTTATTTAACATCATTCCACTAAAGACTTTCTTCAGAACTTAAAGTGTCCAATACCTAAAATTTTCATCTTGTGTTTACAAAGAGCTAACTCTTCAAAGCCCCCCGAGAATGGATCAAAAGCAGGAAATTTCCTGGAGTAATAAAAATTAAGCTGAAAATATCTATCTGGCTAAAGCTTGCTTTGCCTGAAACTTAACGAAAACAGAAAAAAACCAAAGCACCACTTCCTCTCCCTGACACCACCAGAAACAGTTCCAAATGCAAAAATGTGAGAACACAATAAAATACACGTAGAGATGCACACAGGCCCTGATCAGGAACCCGGAAACTGCCTCCATTTTTAAGCCATCCTGTACCTATATAAGCTCTGTAATCTCTCCATTTTACCAGCATCCAGAAGTGAACCAAGTTTATGACTACTTTTATCTTTCACTATCTCTTCTCTAAGCATTCTGTCAAGATCGCATTTCTCTTTACCTACACTATTGAAAGAAAATGACAGTCCTTTTCTGACAAACACATACGTCAACACCACAAGAAATTGTAGGGGGATGTTCATGTTAAACATATGTATTTCTACAGGCAAAACCACTTAATGACAAGTTCCTTAAAAGAATATTATAGAAATCATCATATAAACCCTTGTATAGTAATTGTAAACCTTGAACCACTTAGAGAAGCAGGAATGATACCTACCACTCCGAGTCTCGTCGTATGGGTAATTGGCCACAAGGTCTCCTCCGTGGAGATTGGCAGAGAGAACAAAAGGAATATCCATAATCCAGTGAATGACAGCCTTGGTTTCAGGAGCAAGCTGTATTAAAAAGTAGAGATTAAAAGGATTATAAATTTGATAATCTTTGATATGATCACTTGATAGAAAAAACAGAAAAGGTAGAGAAAAAACTAGTCATATTTCAACCACTTTGTGGTTATTTTCACAGAAAAAAAAGGTTCCTGTAAGAACAGCATTTTCTATGTCTTTCTCAGACTTATAAAAAAAAATTTCATTAGCATTTACATTTCCTTAAAAGTTCTACTTTTGTGGACTACCAGTTTTTCTCTCTTTGTAACTTGAAAACCAGCATGCAAATCATTTACAAATTTTGGGACACTGTCTAATCTGCAGTGGCTCACACATCTTTGATAATAATAGATAAAGATAAGAGGAGAAAAGAAAATACAAAGTTTACCTCTGAACAACACAGGATTGAACTGTGGGACTCCACTTACACTCTGGTCCACTTTTATAACTGAGCCCACTCACACATGGATTTTTCTCAATAAATATATTGGAAAATTTTTTGGAGAATTCTTTTCTTTAGCTCAGTTTTTCCTGCCCTGTAGTTTACTGTTTTTTTCCTCTATATTCCTTTATTGTAAGAATACAGTATATAAAACATATACAAAATATGTGTTAATTGACTGCTCATGTTATTGGTAAGGCCTCTGGTCAATAGCACCTTATTAGTTAAATTTTGGGAGACAAGACAGGCCTCTAAAGAGTTGCTGGACATGGCTGCACACTTGAAGCCTTGCTATAGGCACAGCAGTTGAACCTGTGGCCTTCTACAGAGCTACCAGGACGTGTGGTACCAGTGTACACCTGTTCCCTGACTCAGCAGCTGAACTGGCAGCCCTCTACAGAGCTGCCAAGACCAGGGACAGTAGTGTACACCTGCTCCCCTGATTGACTGCAGATCAGGCAAGGGCTTTGATCCTCCAAGGCAGGCCCCTACAGAGCTGCTGGGTTTGGCTACACCCTTTCAGGCTTTCTCTAGGCTCAACAACTGATTCAGCAGCCTACTACAGAGCTGCCAAATTCTGATGCACCAGTGTACACCTGCTCTCTGAGATGCTGGGCACACAGCCACAATACTCCTGCCCAGTTGTCACCCACCCCAACAAAAACTACGAAGGGTTCCACCACATAGACCATGAAGGTACCCAATGACAACTCTGAGACTGAATATAGAAGTCATACAAAGACTGCACTACCATGCTTATAATATCCTGAACCAAACCTAAAATGCTCAATCTGACTATCAATTTAGAACACTTCTACAGGAAACAGTTTCTCCTTTCAAAATTACTTCAAAAATTAGAAGTGACTGTCATACTAGATGCCCAGACATCAAAGCAGAGATATGAGGGGCCAGCCCGGTGGCGCACTTGGTTGAGTGTGGCACTTGGGAGCGTGGCGGCACTCCCGCCGAGGGTTCGGATCCCATATAGAGACCGGTCCGCTCACTGGCTGAGCGCAGTGCAGGCGAGACACCGAGGGTTGCGATCCCGTTGCCAGTCGCGGTACGGGCATGACACCGAGGGTTGCGATCCCATTACCGGTCACGAAAAAAAGACAAAAAGGAAAAAAAAAAAGCAGAGATATGAGAAGCATGAAAAAACAAGGAAACATGACACACTGAAAGGAAGACAATAGATCTCCAGTACCAGACCCCAAACAACAGGAAGTTGAGGAAATGCCCAGAAAGCAATTCCGAACAATAATCTTAAAGAAACTCAACATGATGCAAGAAAATAAATAGAAATCACAATGAACTCAAAAAAAAAAAACCCCAGGGATAACTGGATATCCATATGCAGGAGATTGAAACTAGACCCATACCTCTCACCATAT